TTTTGGCAGTCTGGGATTTTTTTCCATCCCTCTTTTCCCTGAAATTCCTCGGGAAAAGGACGGGAAAGGAGGGTTTGTGGTTTTCCAGGATTCTGGAATTGCTGCTCCCGGATTTTTGGCAGTCTGGGATTTTTTTGCATCCCTTTTTGCCTGAAATTCCTCAGGAAAAGGATGGGGAAGGAGGGTTTGTGGTTTTCCAGGATTCTGGAATTGCTGCTCCTGGATTTTTGTTGGTCTGGGATTTTTTTTCCATCCCCTTTTTTGCCTGAAATTCCTTGGGAAAAAGGCAGGGAACACCCTCAGGGGGAGAGTTTGGTGGAGTTTTTGTGGAGCTTTCCAGGATTCTGGAATTGTTTTGGCGGTCTGGGGGTTTTTTTGCCATCCCCTTTTTTGCCTGAAATTCCTTGGCAAAAGGACGAGGGAAAGGAGGGTTTTGTGGTTTTCCAGGATTCTGGAATTGCTGCTCCTGGATTTTTGGCGGTCTGGGATTTTTTTGCATCCATTTTTTGCCTGAAATTCCTCAGGAAAAGGACTGGGAAGGAGGGTTTGTGGTTTTCCAGGATTCTGGAATTGCTGCTCCCGCTCTTTTGGCAGTCTGGGATTTTTTTTTCCATCCCTCTTTTTCCCTGAAATTCCCTGGAAAAAAGACAGGGAACACCCTCATGGGGAGTTTTGGGGATTTTTTGTGGGAGTTTTCCAGGATTCTGGAATTGCTGCTCCTGGATTTTTTGGCAGTCTGGGATTTTTTTCCATCCCCTTTTTGCCTGAAATTCCTCGGGAAAAGGATGGGGAAGGAGAGGTTTGTGGTTTTCCAGGATTCTGGAATTGCTGCTCCGTTTTTGGCAGTCTGGGATTTTTTTCCATCCCCTTTTTGCCTGAAATTCCTTGGGAAAAGGCAGGGAACACCCTCAGGGGGAGGAGTTTTGGTGGGAGTTTTTTTGGGGGAGCTTTCCAGGAGTCTGGAATTGTTTTGGCGGTCTGGGGGTTTTTTTTCCATCCCCTTTTTGCCTGAAATTCCTTGGGAAAAGGACAGGGCACACCCCCATGGGGAGGGGTTTTGGTGACCCCCTCTGGTGTTGTGGAAAGGGGAGAATTTTCCAGGATTCTGGAATTGCTGCTCCCACTTTTTTGGTGGTCTGGGATTTTTTTTCCATCCCCTTTTTTTCCCTGAAATTCCTTGGGAAAGGACGGGGAACACCCTTGGTGGGGAGGGTTTGTGGTTTTCCAGGATTCTGGAATTGCTGCTCCCGGATTTTTGGCAGTCTGGGATTTTTTTTTCCATCCCCTTTTTGCCTGAAATTCCTCAGGAAAAGGATGGGGAAGGAGGGTTTGTGGTTTTCCAGGATTCTGGAATTGTTTTGGCAGTCTGGGGTTTTTTTTGGCATCCCCCTTTTTCCCTGAAATTTCTCAGGAAAAGGACAGGGAAGGAGGGTTTGGTGGTTTTCCAGGATTCTGGAATTGCTGCTCCCGGATTTTTGGCAGTCTGGGATTTTTTTTTCCATCCCCTTTTTCCCTGAAATTCCTCAGGAAAAGGATGGGGAAGGAGGCTTTGTGGTTTTCCAGGATTCTGGAATTGCTGCTCCCAGATTTTTGGCAGTCTAGGATTTTTTTTCCATCCCCTTTTTCCCTGAAATTCCTCGGGAAAAGGACAGGGAATGAGCGTTGGGGGCCTTCCAGGAGTCTGGAATTGTTTTGGCGGTCTGGGGGTTTTTTTCCATCCCCTTTTTTGCCTGAAATTCCTTGGGAAAAAGGCAGGGAACACCCTCAGTGGGAGGGGTTTTGGTGGGAGTTTTTTTGGGGGAGCTTTCCAGGATTCTGGAATTGTTTTGGCGGTCTGGGGGTTTTTTTTCCATCCCCTTTTTTTCCCTGAAATTCCTCGGGAAAAGGACGGGGAACACCCTCAGGGGGGGGAGTTTTGGTGGGAATTTTTTGGGGGGGGAGTTTTCCAGGATTCTGGAATTGCTGCTCCCGGATTTTTGGCAGTCTAGGATTTTTTTTCCATCCCCCTTTTCCCTGAAATTCCTCAGGAAAAGGACAGGGAACGAGGCTTTGTGGCTTTCCAGGAGTCTGGAATTGCTGCTCCCACTTTTTTTGGCACTCTGGGATGTTTTTTCCCACCCCCCCTTCCCCTGCATTCCAGGCTTTTCCCGAGGGCTCAGCACTTTGGGAATGACTGAGGGGCTCAGGGGGGCTGATCCTTCCCAGAGGGGCACATTCCAAGGGCAAACAGCCTGGAAAACCTCCTGGATTCTGGGATCCAACTCAGGGAGGGTCAGGAAATGTTCCCTCCTCATTCCCAAACCCCCATCCCACAATTCCCATGGGAAAGGCAGGAAAAGCCCATCCCATTGTTTATGGAATGTGGGTGAGTCATTCCCGAGCTCCCTCCCCCCTCCTTTTCCAGGCAGATCCTGAAAATCCAACCCCCCCTAATCCCTCCAAGGCCCATCCCTTAATCCCGGGGGGAGGGGAGGGGGGGTTGGAAAATCCGGAGCTGAAATCCCCTCGGGATCCTCCCCCTGCTCGGTTTTTTTGGGATTTGTGGCCCCCTGGCATTCCCAGCCCGTTTTTCCCTCCAAGGGGCTCTTCCTGCTCCTTTTCCGTGTGGTTGGCTCCTGGATTTTCCTCTGGAAAATTGATCCCTTTCCCGGCCCCGTTTTTGGGGCTGTTCCTGCCTTTTTCCCGTCCTTTTTTCCCCACTCCCAGCCCTTGGAATCCGGGAATGCTGGGGGTGGGAAGGGATCCTGAAGGGACCATCCCGTTCCAACCCCCTGGGAGGGGCCAAATCCCAAACAAATATCCCTTGGGATGGAGGGAGGAGAAGCTTCCAGGCCCCAGGGGCTGGGAATGGATCTGGGAATCTTCAGGTGGGGAAAATCCCTCAGGAATTCCGGAGTCCCTCGGCTCTGGATCCAGGCTGGGAGAGCTGGGAATGGCCAGGCTGGAGCAGGGAAGGATCCAGGGAGAGCTGGGAGCCCCTTCCAGAGCCTGCAGGGGCTCCAGGAGAGCTGGAGAGGGATTTGGGATCAGGGCCTGGAATGGCAGGACACAGGGAATGGCTTCCCACTGGGAAAGGGGAGATTGGGGTGGGAGATTGGGAAGGGATTCCCGGCTGGGCTGGAATTCCCAGGGAAGCTGTGGCTGCCCCTGGATCCCTGCAGTGTCCCAGGAAAGGTTGGATCTGTTGGGAAGCACCCCAAATATTCCTGGCTGGGGGTGACACCTCCCTGCTTCCCGAAATTCTTGGGATCTCTGGGATGCTGGGGGGGTTTGGATCACCCCTAGGAGGGTTTGGATCTCCAAGGGGGGGATCTCCAGTGGGAACCATTCCCACACGGCCGGGCATTCCCGGTGCCATCCCCATGATCCACCGGGAAGCACCAGGGATATTCCCGAAGAGGGGAGGGGGTGACACTTCCCTAAATTCCGTTTTCTGGGATCTCTGGGATGCTGGGGGGGTTGGATCGCCCCTAGGAGGGTCTGGATCTCCAAGGGGGGGATCTCCAGTGGGAACCATTCCCACACGGCCGGGCATTCCCAGCGATCCATTGGGAAGTGCCAGGGATATTCCCGGAGGGGGGAGGGGGTGACATCTCCCTGCTTCCCGAAATTCCCTAAATTTTTGGGATCTCTGGGATGCTGGGGGGGTTTGGATCATCCCCAGGAGGATCTGGATCTCCAGGGGGGGATCTCCCGTAGGACTCAACATTCCCACATGGCCGGGCATTCCCGGTGCCATCCCCATGATCCACCGGGAAGTGCCAGGGATATTCCCGAAGAGGGGAGGGGGTGACACTTCCCTGCTTCCCGAAATTCCCTAAATTCTTGGGGTCTCAGGGATGCTGGGGGTGGGTTGGATCACCCCTAGGAGGGTCTGGATCTCCAGGGGGGATCTCCAGTGGGAACCATTCCCACACAGCCGGGCATTCCTGGTGCTATCCCCATGATCCACCGGGAAGCGCCAGGGATATTCCCGAAGAGGGGAGGGGGTGACACTTCCCTAAATTCCCTTTTCTGGGATCTCTGGGATGCTGGGGGGTTTGGATCACCCCTAGGAGGGTCTGGATCTCCAGGGGGGGATCTCCCGTAGGACTCAACATTCCCCCAGGGCCGGGCATTCCCAGCCCCGCCCTCCCCGCGGGAATTCCCGGCTGGGTTTTTGGGGGATGTCGGGGATGAAATTCCCGGTTTTTTTGTGGTTTTTTTTCCTCTTTCCCCACGCAGTTCGTGAAGTTCGCGAACATCGAGGAGGACACTCCCTCGTACCACCGCAGCTACGACTTCTTCGTGTGCCGCTTCAGCGAGATGTGCCACTCGTGCCACCCCGACCCCGCCGTGCGCGCCGGGTCCGCCCCGCCCGCCGCCATTCCAACCGGGAATGCACCGGGAACAGCCCCGGAGCGGGGGAGGAGGAGGAGGAGGGGGTTATCCCGGGGAAAAGAGGGATCAGGAGGGGGGTTTTACAGCCTCCAGAATTCCCCAGTTCTCAGGGAAGAAGGGTCAGGAGGAGAGGGAATATTGGAAGCGATTCCCGCCTGGAAAGGGCTGTCAGGCACTGGAATGAACTTCCCAGGGCAGGGCTGGATTCCCAATCCCTGCAGGGATTCCCAATCCCTGTGGATGTGGCACTTGTGGATCCTGCAATCCTGGGGGAGGAAAGTTCGGGATCTTTGCTCCAAGGCATGGAGGGCACGGAGCTTTTCCAGGAAAAGGGATGGGATCAGGGAAGGGGCTGGAGCAGCGGGAATGAGGAGGGAGCTGGGAAAGCTCATCCCAGGGAAAAAGAGGGATCAGGAGGGGGATTTTCCCGCTCCAGAATTCCCCAGTTCCCAGGGAAGAAGGGATAAGGAGGAGAGGGAATATTGGGAGCGATTCCCGCCTGGAAAGGGCTGTCAGGAACTGGGAATGGTGGGATCCCAGCCCTGCAGGGATTCCCGATCCCTGTGGATCCTGGGAGTGGTTGGGATCCTCACTCCAAGGCATGGAGGGGCTGGAATGTTTCCAGGGAAGGGGCTGGAGCAGCAGGAATGGCTGAGGGAAGATGGGAAGGGGCTCATCCCAGGGAAAAAGAGGGATCAGGAGGGAGCTTTTCCAGCCTCCCCAATTCCCAGGGAAGAAGGGGCAGGAGGAGAGGGAATATTGGGAACGATTCCCACCTGGAAAGGGCTGTCAGGCACTGGGAATGGTGGAATTCCTCATCCCTGCAGGGATTCCCAGTTGAGGATCCTGCAATCCTGGGGGAGGAAAGTTCGGGATCTTTGCTCCAAGGCATGGAGGGCACGGAGCTTTTCCAGGGAAGGGGTTGGAGCAGCGGGAATGGCGGAGGGAGATGGAAAGGGGCTCATCCCGGGGAAAAGAGGGATTAGGAGGGAGATTTTCCAGCTGCAGAATTCCCCAGTTCCCAGGGAAGAAGGGATAAGGAGGAGAGGGAATATTGGGAGCAATTCCCGCCTGGAAAGGGCTGTCAGGCACTGGGAGTGCTGGGATTCCTCATCCCTGCAGGGATTCCCAATCCCTGTGGATGTGGCACTTGTGGATCCTGCAATCCTGGGGGGGAAAGTTTGGGATCTTTGCTCCAAGACATGGAGGGCACGGAGCTTTTCCAGGGAAGGGGCTGGAGCAGCGGGAATGGCTGAGGGAGCTGGGAAGGGGCTCATCCCAGGGAAAAAGAGGGATCAGGAGGGAGATTTTCCAGCTCCAGAATTCCCCAATTCCCAGGGAAGAAGGGCCAGGAGGAGAGGGAATATTGGGAAGAATTCCCACATGGAAAGGGTTTCCAGGCCTTCTTTGGAAGTGGTGGAGTCAGATGGGATATTGGGAATGATTCCCACATGGAAGGGGTTTCCAGGCCTTGGAAATGCTGGGTGGGATATTGGGAAGATTCCAGGCCCTGGAAGTGGTGGATTCAGCTGGGATATTGGGAATGATTCCCACATGGAAGGGGTTTCCAGGCCTTGGAATGCTGGAGTGGGATATTGGGAAGATTCCAGGCCCTGGAATTGGTGGATTCAGCTGGGATATTGGGAATGATTCCCACCTGGAAAGGGTTTCCAGGCCCTTGGAATTGGTGGAGTCGCCATTCCCGAGGGGATTCCCAATCCCTGTGGATTTGGCCCTTGGGCTGGGGGCGCTTCCTGGAGATCCTGGAGATCCCTGGATCTGGGAATGGGGCCCGGGACGGGAGTTCAGGTTTTGGGAATGTCCCTCTGGAGCCATTCCCGGAGTTCCTGCGGAGCACCAACCCCCCAGGGTTTGTCATTCCCGAGGGATTCCCATCCCTGAGGATCAACCCTTCCTTTTTCCAAGTGGGGCTGGGAATTCTTTCCTCAAAAAGGGGGAATAAGGTGGGAAAAGAATCCCAATTTTTCCCTCCATCTCCAGGGATGGCTCCGGAAAAACCGGAGACTGGAATTAGGGAGGAGCTGATTCCAGCTGGGAATTCTGGAATTCCAGACTGGGAATCCCCACAACTGGCGATTTTTGGGAATCCAGGGGCTCAGGAAGCGCTTTGAGGGTATTTTTTCCCTCCTATCCCAAAGTTTTCCCGTGGGAAAAACGGCTTTGGAGCCCTTGGGAATGAGGGAAAGCCGGGAACAACATTCCCAGGGGGAAGGCAGGGAATGCTGGTGCTGCTTGTGCATCCCAGGGATTCTTGGGATGGCAAAATCCTGGAATATTTGAGTGGGAATGGCCTTAAAGCTCATCCCATTCCAACTTCCCACCATCCTGGATTTCTCCCATGTGGAATCCAACCCCTTGGATGCTCCCAGGGGTTGGAATATCCTGGATTTTTCTCTCTCCTGGGTAATTTTGGGATCCCAAATCAGGATCCAGGGGCTCAGGAATTTTTGGGAATATTTGGGGGAAGTGGCTTAAAACTCATCCCATTCCATTCCCGATGCTCTCCCAGCATCCCAGATTTCTCCTGCAGGGAATCCACCCCTTGGATGCTCCCAGGGGTTGGAATATTCCAGATTTCTCTCTCTCTCCTGGGTAATTTTGGGATCCCAAATGGGGATCCAGGGCTCAGGAATTTTTGGGAATATTTGGGCAGGAATGGCCTTAAAGTTCATCCCATTCCCACCTTCCACCATCCCAGATTTCTCCCACGGGGAATCCACCCCTTGGATGCTCCCAGGGGTTGGAATATCCCAGATTTCCCTCTCTCTCCTGGGTAATTTTGGGATCCCAAATCAGGATCCAGGGGCTCAGGAATTTCTGGGAATATTTGGGCGGAAAGTGGCTTAAAACTCATCCCATTCCATTCCTGATGCTCTTCCACCATCCTGGATTTCTCCTGCAGGGAATCCACCCCTTGGATGCTCCCAGGGGTTGGAATATCCCGGATTTCTCTCTTCCCTGGGTAAATTTGGGATCCCAAATGGGGATCCAGGGGCTCAGGAATTTTTGGGAATATTTGGGTGGGAAGGGCCTTAAAGTTCATCCCATTCCCACTTCCCACCATCCCAGATTTCTCCCATGGGGAATCCACCCCTTGGAGTCTCCCAGGGGTTGGAATATCCCAGATTTTTCTCTCTCCTGGGTAATTTTGGGATCCCAAATCGGGATCCAGAGGCTCAGGAATTTTTGGGAATATTTGGGTGGGAAGGGCTTTAAAACTCATCCCATTCCCACCATCCTGGATTTCTCCCACGGGGAATCCAACCCTTTGGATGCTCCCAGGGGGTGGAATATCCTGGATTTCCCATTCCCCTGGGTGATCTGGGATGGGTTTCCCGGCAGGATCCGGATGTCTGGGTTGGAATATCCCGGATTTCCCGTTCCCCTGGATGATTTGGGATCCATTTTCCCGTCAGGATCCGGATGTAGGGGTTGGAATATCCGGGATTTCCCGTTCCCCTGGGTGATCTGGGATGGGTTTTCCCGGCAGGATCCGGATGTAGGGTTGGAATATCCGGGATTTCCCGTTCCCCTGGATGATTTGGGATCCATTTTCCCGGCAGGATCCGGATGTAGGGATTGGAATATCCGGGATTTCCCATTCCCCTGGGTGATCTGGGCTGGGTTTTCCCGGCAGGATCCGGATGTCTAGGGTTGGAATATCCGGGATTTCCCGTTCCCCTGGGTGATCTGGGATGGGTTTTCCCATCAGGATCCGGATGTAGGGATTGGAATATCCAGGATTTCCCGTTCCCCTGGATGATTTGGGATCCGTTTTCCCGGCAGGATCCGGATGTCTGGGATCAGGAGCCTGCAGGGGTTGGAATATCTGGGATTTCCCATTCCCCTGGATGATCTGGGATGGGTTTTCCCAGCAGGATCCGGGATGTAGGGGTTGGAATATCCGGGATTTCCCATTCCCCTGGGTGATTTGGGATGGGTTTTCCCGGCAGGATCCGGATGTCTGGGATCAAGGGGCTGCAGGGTTGGAATATCCGGGATTTCCCGTTCCCCTGGGTGATCTGGGCTGGGTTTTCCCGGCAGGATCCGGATGTCTGGGTTGGAATATCCGGGATTTCCCGTTCCCCTGGGTGATTTGGGATCCGTTTTCCCGGCAGGATCCGGATGTCTGGGATCAAGGGGCTGCAGGGGGTGGTGAGGAAGACGGTGAATGACGAGCTCCAGGCCAACATTTGGGATCCCCAGCACATGGATAAGATCGTCCCTTCCCTGCTCTTCAACCTCCAGCACGCCCAGGAGCCGGAAAGGTGGGAATAACCACCCTGGGAAGAGGGGAAAGGGCGGGAATTCCTGCCTGGGAGGAGGGGAAAGGGCGGGAATTCCTCCTGGGAATAGGGGAAGGGATGGGAATTCCAGCCTGGGAAGAGGGAAAAGGGCAGGAATTCCTCCTGGGAAGAGGAAAGGAATTCCCACCTAAGGGGAAGGAATTCCTCCTGGGAAGTGGGGAAGGGATGGGAATTCCCACCTAAGGGGCAGGAATTCCCACCTGGGAAGAGGGGAAAAGGCAGGAATTCCTCGTGGGAAGAGGGGAAGGGCAGGAATTCCCACCTAAGGGGAAGGAATTCCTCCTGGGAAGCAGGGAAGAGGTGGGAATTCCAGCCTGGGAAGAGGGGAAGCAGGGAAGGGGTGGGAATTCCAGCCTGGGAAGAGGGGAAAGGGGCGGGAATTCCCACCTAAGGGGCAGGAATTCCCGCCTGGGAAGCAGGGAAGGGGTGGGAATTCCAGCCTGGGAAGAGGGAAAAGGGCAGGAATTCCTCCTGGGAAGCAGGGGAAGGGCAGGAATTCCCACCTAAGGGGAAGGAATTCCTCACCTGGGAAGAGGGGAAAGGGCAGGAATTCCCACCTAAGGGGAAGGAATTCCTGCCTGGGAAGCAGGGAAGGGGTGGGAATTCCAGCCTGGGAAGAGGGAAGGGGCAGGGTCCCTCTTCCAGTTTTTCCAGGCCCTTCTCCTGGGTTCTCCACGATCCCTGTCCCAGATTTTCCAAGGTTCCTGTCCCAGTTTTTCCAGGCCCCTTTCCCAGTTTTTCCAGTCCCTCTCCCAGTTTTTCCAGGCCTCTGTCCCAGATTTTCCAAGGCCCCTCTCCCAAGTTTTTCCAGGCCACCCCTCTCCCAGTTTTTCCAGGCCCCTTTCCCAGTTTTTCCAGCCCCTTTCCCAGTTTTTCCAGGTTTCCCTCTCCCAGTTTTTCCAGTCCCTCTCCCAGTTTTTCCAGCCCCTCTCCCAGTTTTTCCAGTCCCTCTCCCAGTTTTTCCAGATCCCTCTCCCAGGTTTTCCAGGTTCCTGTCCCAGTTTTTCCAGCCCCTTTCCCAGTTTTTCCAGACCCTCTCCCAGTTTTTCCAGTCCCTCTCCCAGTTTTTCCAAGGTCCCTCTCCCAGGTTCCCCTTTCCCAGGTTTTCCAGGTCCCTGTCCCAGTTTTTCCAGGCCCCTCTCCCAGTTTTTCCAGCCCCTTTCCCAGTTTTTCCAGGCCCTCTCCCAGGTTTTCCAAGCCCCTCTCCCAGTTTTTCCAGGTCCCTGTCCCAGTTTTTCCAGGTCCCTCTCCCAGTTTTTCCAGCCCCTTTCCCAGTTTTTCCAGGACCCTCTCCCAGTTTTTCCAGGCCCCTCTCCCAGTTTTTCCAGTCCCTCTCCCAGTTTTTCCAGGCCCTCTCCCAGTTTTTCCAAGCCCCCTCTCCCAGTTTTTCCAGGTCCCTCTCCCAGTTTTTCCAGGTCCCTCTCTCAGTTTTTCCAGGCCCCTCTCCCAGGTTTTCCAGGTCCCTCCCCCAGTTTTTCCAAGATCCCTTTCACAGATTTTCCAAGGTTCCTGTCCCAGTTTTTCCAGGCCACTCTCCCAGGTTTTCCAGGCCCCTCTCTCAGTTTTTCCAGGCCCCTCTCCCATTTTTTCCAAGCTCCCTCTCCCATCTTTCCCCTCCCCTGTCCGTATTTTCCAGCTGTTCCCCATCCCCGGTTCTGGGGGGTCGGAAGGAGCGGGAGTTCCCTCTCCCAGCTTTCCCTCTCCCAGATTTCCCTCTCCCAGTTTTTCCAGCCCCTCTTCCAGTTTTTCCAGCTCCCTCTCCCAGTTTTTCCAGCCCCTTTCCCAGTTTTTCCAGCCCCTCTCCCAGATTTTCCAGGTCCCTCTGGGTATTTTCCAGGTCCCTCTCCCAGTTTTTCCAGCCCCTTTCCCAGTTTTTCCAGGTCCCTCTGGGTATTTTCCAGCCGTTCCCCGTCCCCGGTCCCGGGTGCTCAGAAGGAGCGGGAGTTCCCTCTCCCAGCTTTCCCTCTCCCAGATTTCCCTCTCCCAGTTTTTCCAGCCCCTCTCCCAGATTTTCCAGGTCCCTCTGGGTATTTTCCAGCCGTTCCCCATCCCCAGTTCCGGGGGCTCGGAAGGAGCGGGAGGTTCCAGCGGATCTGGCCGAGCGGTGCCTGCGGGAGCTGCTGGCGAGGGCGGCCTTCGGAAACATCAAAAACGCCCTCACCCCCGTCCTGCTGTGAGTCCTCATTCCCAACATTCCCAAAATCTGCATCCTGCTTCCCAAACACATCAAAAACGCCCTCACCCCCGTCCTGCTGTGAGTTCTGAGTCCTGAAATCCATCTCCTCCTTCCCAAAATCCACCTCCTGCTTCCCAAACACATCCAGAACGCCCTCACCCCCGTCCTGCTGTGAGTCCTGAGACCCAACATTCCCCAAAATCTGCATCCTGCTTCCCAAAAACATCAAAAATGCCCTCACCCCCGTCCTGCTGTGAGTCCTCATTCCCAACATTCCCAAAATCCATCTCCTCCTTCCCAAAAACATCAAAAACGCCCTCACCCCCGTCCTGCTGTGAGTCCTGAGGCCCAACATTCCCAAAATCCACCTCCTGCTTCCCAAAAACATCCAGAACGCCCTCACCCCCGTCCTGCTGGGAGTTGTGAGGCCCAACATTCCCAAAATCCATCTCCTCATTCCCAAACACATCAAAAACGCCCTCACCCCCGTCCTGCTGGGAGTCCTCATTCCCAACATTCCCCAAAATCCACCTCCTCATTCCCAAAAACATCAAAAACGCCCTCACCCCCGTCCTGCTGGGAGTTCTGAGGCCCAACATTCCCCAAAATCCACCTCCTGCTTCCCAAACACATCCAGAACGCCCTCACCCCCGTCCTGCTGGGAGTCCTGAGTCCTGAAATCCACCTCCTCATTCCCAAAATCCATCTCCTCATTCCCAAATTCCACCTCCTCATGCCCAAAATCCACCTCCTCATTCCCAAACACATCCAGAACACCCTCACCCCCGTCCTGCTGGGAGTCCTGAGTCCTGAAATCCATCTCCTCCTTCCCAAAATCCACCTCCTCATTCCCAAAATTCCAGCTCCTCCTTCCCAAAATCCACCTCCTCATTCCCAAATTCCACCTCCTGAATCCCCAATTCCACCTCCTGCTTCCCAAAATCCACCTTCTCCTTCCCAAAAACATCAAAAACGCCCTCACCCCCGTCCTGCTGGGAGTTCTGAGGCCCAGAATTCCAAATCCCACCTCCTCATTCCCAAAATCCACCTCCTGCTTCCCAAAATCCACCTCCTCATTCCCAAAATCCACCTCCTGCTTCCCAAAATCCACCTCCTCATTCCCAAACACATCCAGAACACCCTCACCCCCGTCCTGCTGGGAGTCCTGAGTCCTGAAATCCATCTCCTCATGCCCAAAATCCACCTCCTCATTCCCAAATTCCACCTCCTACTTCCCAAAATCCACCTTCTGCTTCCCAAAATCCACCTCCTGCTGCCCAGAATTCCCAGATTCCACCTCCTGCTTCCCAAAATTCCACCTCCTGCTTCCACAGAATCCAGGTCCTGCTTCCAAATTTCACCTCCTGCTTCCCCAAATTCCACCTCCTGCTTCCAAATTCCACCTCCTGCTTCCCAAAATTCCACCTCCTACTTCCCAAAATTCCACCTCCTGCTTCCCAAAATTCCACCTCCTACTTCCCCAAATTTCACCTCCTACTTCCCAAAATTCCACCTCCTACTTCCCAAAATTCCACCTCCTGCTTCCCAGAAATTCCCATCCTGCTTCCTGAAATTCCTCGTCCTGCTTCCCAAACTTCTGAATCCTGGATCCCAAACTTCTCACTCCTGCATCCCAAAATCCTTTGGGGTGAATCCTTTGCTTCCCAACAATCCTTTGCCCTGCATCCCAAAAATCCTTTCCCCTCCATCCCAAAAACCCGAGTCCTCCATCCCAAAATCCTTTCCCCTCCATCCCAAAATCCTTTCCCCTCCATCCCAAAATCCTTTGCCCTCCATCCCAAAATCCTTTGCCCTCCATCCCCACAATCCCATTCCCGCATCCCAAACTTTGACCCCATGGAAAACCCCGGGAAGCCGCCCTGGATCCGGCTGGAGCTCCCCCCCCTTTCCCCTTGGATTCCAACCTTCATTCCAAGCCCCCTTTTCCCAGTTTTGCTTTGTTTTGTTTTGTTTTCCCTGGGATTCCCTGGGATTCCCGACCCTTTTCCCGGCGTTCCCGGCTCTCCCGCAGGCACCTGGATAACCATTCCCTCTGGGAGCCCAAGGTGTTTGCCACCGGCTGCTTCCGGATCATCATGTACTCCATCCAGGTGAGGAGCCTGGGAAGGGGGAACAGTGGGAAAACTCCGGGATATTCCGGAGCCTCCGGGAATTCGGGACCATTCCCACATCCCGGGAATGCCATTCCAAGTGTCTTTTCCCAAGGGAAGTTGGGAATGAGAAGGAGTGAAGGGCATGGGAAGGGGAAAAAGTGGGAAAACTCTGGGATATTCCAGAGCCTCTGGGAATTTGGGACCATTCCCACATCATTCCCACTTCCTGGGAATGCCATTCCAAGTGGTTTCCCCCGCCCCTGGGGAAGTTGGGAATGAGAAGGAGTGAAGGGCACAGGAAGGGGGAAAAAGTGGGAAAAATCCAGGATATTCCAGAGCCTCCAGGAAGTTGGGACCATTCCCACATCATTCCCACATCCTGGGAATGCCATTCCAAGTGGTTTTCCCCCCTGGGGAAGTTGGGAATGAATGGCACGGGAAGGGGAAAAAGTGGGAAAATTCTGGGATATTCTGGAGCCTCTGGGAATTCAGAGCCATTCCCACATCCTGGGAATGCCATTCCAAGTGGTTTCTCCCCCCAGGGGAAAGTTGGGAATGAGAGGGAATGAACGTCATGGGAAGGGGAAAAAGTGGGAAAATTTTGGGATGTTCCAGAGCCTCTGGGAATTCAGGGCCATTCCCACTTCCTGGGAATGCCATTCCAAGTGGTTTCCCCCGCCCCGGGGTAATTTGGGAATGAGAGGGAATGAATGGCACGGGAAGGGGAAAAAGTGGGAAAATTCTGGGATGTTCCAGAGCCTCTGGGAATTTGGGGCCATTCCCACATCCTGGGAATGCCATTCCAAGTGGTTTTCCCCCGGGGGAAGTTGGGAATGAGAGGGAGGAGGGGGGAGCTGGGAATCCTGAAAGGGAATCCTGAGCCAGGTTTTTTTGGGGGGGATGAGGGGGAAAAAAAAGAGTGGGAGCCCTGGGAAAAGCAGGAATCCAAATCCCAGTTTTTCCCGGGAAAATGGCTCCAAGGTCTGGCTGAATTCTGGAGAACAGGCTTCCCTCGGGATTTGGGAAGGGTTATTCCCATTGTTTTCCCTTTGGATTCAGCCCATTCCTGCCTGGAAAACTCTGATCCCCCCTCCCCTGCTCCCATTCCTGGTTTTTGATCCTAGAAAGTCTCGAAATCCCTGGAAATCACTCCCAGATGGTCTCAAATCCCATTGGAATTGTCAGGTTGCAGAGCCCCTGGAATTCCTGCTGCGTTTGGGAATCCCTGGCAGGAATCAAACCCTTTTTCCCTGGAATCCCCTGGATCCATTCTCCCCATTCCCACGGATTTACACAACCCTTTGGATCATTTTTCCCATGGAAAGGTCTTGATTAGTTGGGGAGAACGGGATTCCCTCGGGATTTGGGAAGGGTTATTCCCGCTGTTTTCCCTTTGGATTCAGCCCCATTCCTGCCTGGAGAGCTCTGATCCCCCCTCCCCTGATCCCATTCCCGGTTTTTAATCCTGAAAAGTTCCCAAATCCCTGAAAATCACTCCCAGATTGTCTGAAATCCCGTTGGAATTGTCAGGTTGCAGAGCCCCTGGAATTCCTGCTGTGTTTGGGAATCCCTGACAGGAATCCCTGAATTCCTACCTGGAATCCCCTGGATCCATTCTCCCCATTCCCACGGATTTCTACAACTCCTGGGATCATTTTTCCCATGGGAAGGGAAACAGGCTTCCCTAACTATTTTGGGAAGGGTTATTCCCGTTGTTTTCCCTTTGGATTCAGCCCATTCCTGCCTGGAAAACTCTGATCCCCCCTCCCCTGCTCCCATTCCTGGTTTTTGATCCTAGAAAGTTCCCAAATCCCTGAAAATCGCTCCCAGATTGTCTCAAATCCCGTTGGAATTGTGATCCCACATGCCCCTGGAATTCCTGCTGCGTTTGGGAATCCTGCAGGAATCAATCCCTACCTGGAATCCCCTGGATCCATTCTCCCCATTCCCATGGATTTCACAACTCCTGGGATCATTTTTTCCATGGAAAGTTGCTCAGTTCTGGAGAACAGGCTGCCCTAACTATTTTGGGAAGGGTTATTCCCGTTGTTTTCCCTTTGGATTCAGCCCATTCCTGCCTGGAGAGCTCTGATCCGCTCCCTCTGCTCCCATTCCTGGTTTTTAATCCTGAAAAGTTCCCAAATCCCTGAAAATCGCTCCCAGATTGTCCAAAATCCCATTGGAATTGTGATCCCACACTGCCCCTGGAATTCCTGCTGCGTTTTTGGGAATCCCTGAATTCCTACCTGGAATCCCCAGGATCAATTCTCCCCATTCCCACGGATTTCTACAACTCCTGGGATCATTTTTCCCGGGAAAACGGCTCTGAGGTCTGGCTCAGTTGAGAACAGGCTTCCCTCGGGATTTGGGAAGGGTTATTCCCGTTGTTTTCCCTTTGGATTCAGCCCCATTCCTGCCTGGAGAGCTCTGAGCTCCTCCCATTCCTGCTTTTTGATCCCAGAAAGTCCCCAAATCCCTGGAAATCACTCCCAGATTGCCTAAAATCCCGTTGGAATTGTGATCCCACACTGCCCCTGGAATTCCTGCTGCGTTTGGGAATCTCTGGCAGGAATCCCTGAATTCCTGCCTGGAATCCCCAGGATCCATTCTCCCCATTCCCAGGGATTTCCCCTCTCCCTTTGGACCATTTTTCCCGGGAAAACCCCCCCTCCCATTCCCACCCCCCATTTCATCCCTCCTCCAAACACCCTTTTTTATCCCGGATTTCCTCCTCGGGGATGGGGGAAAAAACCAACGCTGGGATTCATCCCTTGGGATCCTTCTCCTTCCCAACATCATTCCCGCTGCTTTCCCGCTTTTCCCAGCCTCAGCATTCCCACCTGGTGATCCAGCAGCTGCTGGGACACCTGGATGCCAACAGCCGGAGCGCGGCTCCCGTCCGGGCGGGAATCGTCCAGGTGCTGTCGGAAGCGGCCGCCATCGCCGCCTCCGGATCCGTGGGTCAGCATTCCAGGGAAAACCCGGGAAAAGGGGATGGGAATTTGAAAGGGGGATGGGAATTTGAAAGGGGGGGATGGGAATTTGAAAGGGGGATATGGGAATTTGAAAAAGGGGGATGGGAATTTGAAAAGGGGGATGGGAATTTGAAAAGGGGATGGGAATTTGAAAAAGGGGGATGAGGGAATTTGAAAGGGGATGGGAATTTGAAAGGGGGGTGGGAATTTGAAAAAGGGGGATGGGAATTTGAAAGGGGGATGGGAATTTGAAGGGGGATGGGAATTTGAAAGGGGGGTGGGAATTTGAAAAGGGGGATGGGAATTTGAAAGGGGATGGAATTTGAAAAGGGGGATGGGAATTTGAAAGGGGGATGGGAATTTGAAAAGGGGATGGGAATTTGAAAAGGGGGGATGGGAATTTGAAAAAGGGGGATGGGAATTTGAAAAAGGGGGATGGGAATTTGAAAGGGGGATGGGAATTTGAAAAAGGGGGATGGGAATTTGAAAGGGGATGGGAATTTGAAAGGGGGATGGGAATTTGAAAAGGGGATGGGAATTTGAAAGGGGATGGGAATTTGAAAAGGGGGATGGGAATTTGAAAAGGGGATGGGAATTTGAAAAAGGGGATGGGAATTTGAAAAGGGGATGGGAATTTGAAAGGGGGATGGGAATTTGAAAGGGGATGGGAATTTGAAAAAGGGGATGGGAATTTGAAAGGGGGATGGGAATTTGAAAAGGGGATGGGAATTTGAAAGGGGATGGGAATTTGAAAAGGGGATGGGAATTTGAAAGGGGGATGGAATTTGAAAGGGGATGGGAATTTGAAAAGGGGGATGGGAATTTGAAAGGGGGATGGGAATTTGAAGAGGGGATGGGAATTTGAAAAGGGGATGGGAATTTGAAAAGGGATGGGAATTTGAAAAAGGGGATGGGAATTTGAAAAAGGGGATGGGAATTTGAAAAGGGGATGGGAATTTGAAAAAGGGGATGGGAATTTGAAAAGGGGATGGGAATTTGAAAAAGGGGATGGGAATTTGAAAGGGGGATGGGAATTTGAAAAGGGGATGGGAATTTGAAAGGGGATGGGAATTTGAAAAGGGGGATGGGAATTTGAAAAGGGGATGGGAATTTGAAAAAGGGGATGGGAATTTGAAAGGGGATGGAATTTGAAAGGGGATGGGAATTTGAAAAAGGGGATGGGAATTTGAAAAGGGGATGGGAATTTGAAAGGGGGATGGGAATTTGAAAGGGGGATGGGAATTCCTGGGAATGCGCCAGGATGCCGAATTCCTGAGGTGCTGGTGGAGGGCTCCTCCGTGGGATGGTGGGAGTGGATGGAGGGTGGGAATTCCCGCTTGGGAGGAGGGGGAAAGGGATTTTGGGGTTTGGGGGGGGGAAAGTGGGAATTGCAGGTTTGGTGGGGGAAAAAGGGGGAATTTCGGGGATTTGGATTTTCAGGGATTGGGTGGGGGAAAAAGTGGGATTTCAGGTTTGTGGGGGGAAAAAGTGGGAATTTCAGGGGTTTGGTGGGGAAAACAGGAATTGCAGGGGTTTGGGGGAAAGTGGGATTCCGAGTTGGATTTTCAGGGATTTGGTGGAGGAAAAAGTAGGATTTTCCATTTGGGATGAGAGGGAAAAGGGGATTCAGGGGTTTGGTGGAGGAAAAGTGGATTTTCAGGATTTGGATTTTCAGGGATTTGGTGGGGGAAAAGTGGGAATTTCAGGGATTTGGTGGGGAAAAGTGGGAATTTCAGGGGTTTGGTGGAGGAAAAGTGGGAATTTCAGGGGTTTGGGGGGAAAAGGGGATTTTGGGGCTTTGGTGGGGGGAGAAAGTGGGAATTTCAGGGATTTGGATTTTCAGGGATTTGGTGGGGGAAAAGGGGGAATTCCAGGGATTTGGTTGGGGATTTTGGAATATCTTTTGAGATGAGGGGAAAAAAGTGGGATTTTTAGGGATTTGGTGGGGAAAAAAGTGAGATTTTCCAGGATTTGGATTTTCAGGGATTTGGTGGGGAAAAAGTGGGAATTTCAGGGATTTGGTGGGGGGAAAAGTGGGAATTGCAGGGATTTGGTTGGGGATTTTGGAATATCTTTTGGGATGAGGGGGAAAAAGTGGGATTTTGAGGGATTTGGCAGGGAAAAAAGTGGGATTTCCCGAGGATTTGGATTTTCAGGGATTTGGTGGGGGAAAAAGTGGGATTTTCCATTTGGGATGAGGGGGGAAAAAAGTGGGATTTTGGGGGGTTTGGGGGGAAAAGTGGGAATTGCAGGGGTTTGGTGGGGGAAAAAGTGGGAATTTCAGGGATTTGGTGGGGGAAAAAGTGGGAATTTCGGGGGTTTGGAGGGGGAAAAGTGGGAATTTCGGGGATTTGGTGGGGGAAAAAGTGGGATTTTGAGGGATTTGGTTGGAAAAAAGTGGGATTTTCAGGGGTTTCGATTTTCAGGGATTGGGGGGTAAAAAAGTGGGATTTTCCATTTGGGATGACGGGGGGGAAAAAGTGGGAATTTGGGGGGGGGAAAGTGGGATTTTGAGGGGATTTGGTGGGGAAAAAAGTGGGATTTTGAGGGATTTGGTGGCTACTCCAGAGGGACTTTTCCCTTCTTATCTTGGATATGTGGGAGCTGCGAATCCCACCCTGGAATATTTCGGGAATGAGATGCTGGGGAATCCAAACAGAGGGTGCTTTGACCCTGGAATTCTGGATTTAACCCCCTCCCTCATCCCAAAATCTCCTGATGAGATCCATCACCACTAGATTCCCACTTTTCCCCTGGAATTCTGAATCCCCTCTGGATTTATCCCATCCCAGAATGTCCTGCTCAGACCCTTCCCCAACAGATTCCCAAGGTCTGAGGGTCCTTTTCCCCTGGAATTCTGACTCCCCCTGGAATTTATCCCACCCCACAGTGCCTTTATGAGACCCCTCCCCCCCCATCCCCATTTTCCCTGGAATTCTGACTCCCCCTGGAATTTAACCCCTTTCATTATCCCAGAGTCTCCTGCTGAGACCCTTCCCCACCAGATTCCCACTTTTCCCCTGGAATTCTGATTTAATCCCTTCCTTTATCCCAGAATCTCCTGCTCAGACCCCTCCCCCCCCATCCCCATTTCCCCTGGAATTCTGAATTCCCTCAGGATTTATCCTGTCCCTCATCCCACAGTCTCCTGATGAGATTCCCAAAGTCTGAGGGTCCTTTTCCCCTGGAATTCTGACTCCCCCTGGAATTTAACCCATCCCAGAATGTCCTGCTCAGACCCTTCCCCACCAGATTCCCAAGGTCTGAGAGTCCTTTTCCCCTGGAATTCTGACTCCCCTCGGGATTTATCCCTGTCCCTCATCCCAGAGTCTCCTGCTGAGACCCTTCCCCACCAGCCCCATTTTCCCTGGAATTCTGAATCCCCTCAGGATTTATCCCACCCCACAGTGCCCTCATGGGACCCTTCCCCACCAGAATCCCAAGGTCTGAGGGTCCTTTTCCCCTGGAATTCTGACTCCCCCTGGAATTTAACCCATCCCAGAATGTTCTGCTAAGACCCTCCCCCCATCCCCATTTCCCCTGGAATTCTGGATCCCCCTGGGATTTATCCCTGTCCCTCATCCCAGAGTCTCCTGCTCAGACCCTTCCCCACCAGATCCCCAAGGTCTGAGGGTCCTTTTCCCCTGGAATTCTGAATCCCGCTGGAATTTCTCCCCCCCCACAGTGCCTTTACGAGACCCCTCCCCCGCCCCCCATCCCGATTTCCCCTGGAATTCTGAATCCCCTCAGGCTTTAAACCCATCCCTGATCCCACAGTGTCCTGAGGAGATTCCCAAGGTCTGAGAGTCCTTTTCCCCTGGAATTCTGACTCCCGCTGGAATTTCTCCCACCCCACAGTGCCTTTACGAGACCCCTCCCCCCCATCCCGATTTCCCCTGGAATTCTGACTCCCCGGGATGGTTTTCCTGCTCAGGCCCCACGGTGCTGGAGGTTTTCAACACCCTCCTGCGGCAGCTGCGCCTCAGCATCGACTACGCCCTCACCGGCACCTACGACGGAGCCGGGATTGGAGCCGGGATTGGATCCGGGATCAGCCCCGGGATGGGCTCTGGGATGGGCTCCGGGATGGGCTCCAGGATCATCAAGGAGCAGGAGGAGAGGATGTTCCAGGAGGCCGTCATCAAAACCATCGGTGTGGGAGCGTCCCCCTTCCCGGCAGAGATCCCGGGGATTTGGGGGTTGTTTTTTTTTTTGGGATGAGGGGAAAAGGCGGGATTTGGTCACTGAGAGGGTATCCCGGGTTTTGGAGGGAGAGGGGTCTGGGATCTGAGGGGTTTGGGTTTGGGAATGGGGGAGGAAGGGAGGAGAGGGTGGGAAGGAGGGGCTGGATCCAGGGATTTGGTGGTTCTGGAGTGGGAGGGGTTGGAGTCAGGGATTGGAATCTCCCGGCTGGAGCTGTGGGATGGGTTGGAATCCCTGAGGAAGGGAAGGAAAGGTGGGAAGGAGGTGCTGGATCCAGGGATTTGGCAGCTCCAGAGTAGGAAGGGTTGGAATCAGGGATTGGAATCTCCCAGCTGGAGCTGTGGGATGGGAAGGGCCATTCCTGCTTTTCCTGGGCTGGAATCCCTGAGGGAAGGAGTGAAAGAAAGGAGGGAATGGGACTCTGAATCCAAGGATTTGGCAGCTTCCAGCTGGAGCTGTGGGATGGGAAGGGACATTCCTGCTTTTCCTGGTTTGGGAACCCTGAGGGGAGGAGGTGCTGAATCCAGGGATTCACCAGTCCCAAAATAGGAGGGGTTGGGAGCAGGGATTGGAATCTCCCAACTGGAGCTGTGGGATGGGTTGGGATCTCTGAGGAGGAGAAGGAAAAGAGGGAAGGAGGTGCTGGATCCAAGGATTTGGTGGTTCTGGAGTAGGAAGGGTTGAGAGCAGGGATTGGAATCTCCCAGCTGGAGCTGTGGGATGGGAAGGGACATTGCTGCTTTTCCTGGGTTGGGAAACCTGAGGAAAGGAGGGAAGGAGGCGCTGAATCCAAGGATTTGGCAGTCCCAAAATAGGAGGGGTTGGAATCAGGGATTGGCTGGAATTCCCAGCTGGAATTGCCCCTCCTGGGAGAGGGATTTTGGTGGGTCTGGAATCACCCTGGAGGTGAAGATGTGGATGGGGATCTGCAGGGACATTCCTGCTTTTCCTGGCTTGGGAACCCTGAGGGAAGTAGGGTCTGGATCCAGGGATTTGGCAGCTCCAGAGTAGGAAGGGTTGGAATCAGGGATTGGCTGGAATTCCCAGCTGGAGCTGTGGGATGGGAAGGGCCCTTCCTGCTTTTCCTGGGCTGGAATCCCTGAGGGAAGTAGGCTCTGGATCCAGGGATTTGGCAGCTCCAGAGTAGGAAGGGTTGGAATCAGGGATTGGAATCTCCCAGCTGGAGCTGTGGGATGGGTTGGGATCCCTGAGGAGGAGAAGGAAAAGAGGGAAGGAGGTGCTGGATCCAAGGATTTGGCAACTCCAGGATGGGAAGGGTTGGGAGCAGGGATTGGAATCTCCCAGCTGGAGCTGTGGGATGGGTTGGGATCTCTGAGGAGGAGAAGGAAAAGAGGGAAGGAGGTGCTGGATCCAAGGATTTGGCAGCTCCCAGCTGGAGCTGTGGGATGGGAAGGGACATTCCTGATTTTCCTGGCTTGGAATCCCTGAGGAAGGGAAGGAAAGGTGGGAAAGAGGGCAGGGAAGGGTTGGAATGAGGGACTGGCATCTCCCAGCTGGAATTGCCCCTCCTGGGAGAGGGATTTTGGCGGGTCTGGAATCACCCTGGAGGTGAAGATGTGGATGAGGATCTGCAGGAACATTCCTGCTTTTCCTGGCTTGGGAACCCTGAGGGAAGGAGGGAAGCAGGTGCTGGATCCAGGGATTCACCAGTCCCAAAATAGGAAGGGTTGGAATCAGGGATTGGAATCTCCCAGCTGGAGCTGTGGGATGGGAAGGGCCATTCCTGCTTTTCCTGGGCTGGAATCCCTGAGGGAAGGAGGTGCTGAATCCAAGGATTTGGCAGCTCCAGAGTAGGAAGGGTTGGAGTCAGGGATTGGCTGGAATTCCCAGCTGGAATTGTCCCTCCTGGGAGAGGGATTTTGGTGGATCTGGAGGGAGAAGGTTCCTGTGGGTGGGATCTGCAGGGACATTCCTGCTTTTCCTGGGTTGGGAAACCTGAGGGAAGTAGGCTCTGGATCCAGGGATTTGGCAGTCCCAAAATAGGAGGGGTTATAATCAGGGATTGGCAGCTCCCAGCTGGAGCTGTGGGATGGGTTGGGATCTCTGAGGAGGAGAAGGAAAAGAGGGAAGTAGGCTCTCGATCCAGGGATTTGGCAGCTCCAGAGTAGAAAGGGTTGGGAGCAGGGATTGGAATCTCCCAGCTGGAGCTGTGGGATGGGAAGGAAGGGCCATTCCTGCTTTTCCTGGGCTGGAATCCCTGAGGAAAGGAGGGAAGGGGGCTCTGAATCCTGCTCCCTGCTCCCCCTGGAATCGATCCAGGCAGGAATTCCTCATTCCCGGGGCATTCCCACATCCACAGGCTCGTTTGCCAGCACGCTGCCCACGTACCAGCAGTCGGAGGTGATGGTGTTCATCATGAACAAGGTGCCCCTGCCCTGCTCCCAGCATTCCATGGAGCCGGGAAAAGACGGGTGAGGGGCGGATCCCGACCTTTCCCAACCCCCTCCCAGCTCCCAACATTCCTTTCCTTGGATTTGGATTTTATTCTCTGGGAAAACGGTTCTGAATTCTTGGTTGGTTGGGGAGAACAGGCTTCCCTCGGGATTTGGGAAGGGTTATTCCCGTTGTTTTCCCTTTGGATTCAGCCCATTCCTGCCTGGAAAACTCTGATCCCCCCTCCCCTGCTCCCATTCCTGGTTTTTGATCCTAGAAAGTCTCGAAATCCCTGGAAATCACTCCCAGATGGTCTAAAATCCCGTTGGAATTGTGATCCCACACTGCCCCTGGAATTCCTGCTGTGTTTGGGAATCCCTGACAGGAATCAAACCCTTTTTCCCTGGAATCCCCTGGATCAATTCTCCCCATTCCCACGGATTTACACAACCCTTTGGATCATTTTTCCCATGGAAAGGTCTTGATTGGTTGGGGAGAACAGGATTCCCTCGGGATTTGGGAAGGGTTGTTCCCGTTGTTTTCCCTTTGGATTCAGCCCATTTCTACCTGGATCTGCTCCCTCTGCTCCCATTCCCGGTTTTTATTCCCATAAAATGCCCCAAATGCCCCAAAGTTGAGGGATTCCCAGGATGTCTGAAATCTCCCTGGCAGGAGATCCATGGATTTGTGTCTGTCCCTGCAGGGAGAACCGGAACCGCCTGACCCAGATCATGCTCCTCAAATCCCTGCTCCAGGTAGGAATTCCATGGGATCCCGTGGGATAAATCCCTCAGAAACTGCTCCAGGTAGGAATTCCATGGGATCCCGTGGGATAAATCCCTCAGAAACTGCTCCAGGTAGGAATTCCATGGGATCCCGTGGGATAAATCCCTCAGGGACTGCTCCAGGTAGGAATTCCATGGGATCCCGTGGGATAAATCCCTCAGGGACTGCTCCAGGTAGGAATTCCATGGGATCCCGTGGGATAAATCCCTCAGGAACTGCTCCAGGTAGGAATCCATAAATTCCCATGGGATCAGTCCCTCAGGATCCGCTCCAGGTGCACATTCCATGGGGTGAATCCCTCAGAAACTGCTCCAGGTGGGAATCCAGAGATTCCCATGGGATCAGTCCCTCAGGAGCTGCTCCAGGTAGGAATTCCATGGGATCCTGTGGGATAAATCCCTCAGGAACTGCTCCAAGTAGGAATACACCCCATTCCCATGGGATCAGTCCCTCAGGAACTGCTCCAGGGGCGCATTCCATGGGGTGAATCCCTCAGGAATGGCTGCAGGTGGGAATCCAGAGATTCCATGGGATCAGTCCCTCGGGAACCACTCCAGGTGCCCATTCCATGGGGTGAATCCCTCAGGAATGGCTCCAGGTAGGAATCCAGAGATTCCATGGAATCAGTCCCTCAGGAGCTGCTCCAGGTGCACATTCCAAGGGGTGAATCCCTCAGGAACCGCTCCAGGTGCCCATTCCATGGGATCAGTCCCTCAGGAACAGCTCCAGGGGCCCATTCCATGGGGTCAGTCCCTCAGGAACTGCTCCAGGTAGGAATCCAGAGATTCCTATGGGATCAGTCCCTCAGGGACTGCTCCAGGTCCATATTCCATGGGGTGAATCCCTCAGGATCCTCTCCAGGTTCCTTTCCCATGGGATCAGTCCCTCAGGAACTGCTCCAGTCCCACATTCCATGGGGTGAATCCCTCAGGACCCATTCTGGGTTCCTTTTCCATGGGGTGAATCCCTCAGGATCCTCTCCAGGTGCACATTCCATGGGGTGAATCCCTCAGGATCCATTCTGGGTTCCTTTTCCATGGGGTGAATCCCTCAGGATCTGCTCCAGGATCCTCTCCAGGTGCACATTCCATGGGGTGAATCCCTCAGGATCCACTCCAGTCCCACATTCCATGGGGTGAATCCCTCAGGAGCTGCTCCAGGCCCACATTCCAAGGGGTGAATCCCTCAGGTCCTTCCCTTCCGGAGGATCCCGAGCCGCGTTTTATCCGCCATTCCGAGCGACACCATTCCGTTTTTCCTCGGAATCCGCAGGTGTCGGTGGGATTCCAGTGCAGTAACATGCTCACAGCTCTGCCCAGCGCATTCCTGGACCGGCTGCTCTCCGCTGCCCTCCTGGAAGATCCCGAAATCCGCCTCTTTGTCCTGGAGATCCTCATCAGCTTCATCGACCGCCACGGCAACCGCCACAAGTTCTCCCCCATCAGGTCATTCCCGGGGGGGTTTCCCGGGAATCCTGAGCAGTGGGATTGGGATGGGAGCGCTGGCTGGATAATTGATGCTCCAGGAGAATTTCTGGGATGGGATCTGGTCAGGAATGTCGGTGATTCAGGAGGATTTCTGGAATGGTTTAATCCTGGAAATCCTGGGTTCTGGACTGGGAGCACTGGCAGGAATGTTGGTGATCCAGGAGGATTTCTGGGATGATTCCATCCTGGAGATCCTGGGATCTGGACTGGGAGCACTGGCAGGAATGTCAGTGGTCCAGGAGGATTTCTGGAATGGTTTAATCCTGGAAATCCTGGGATCTGGACTGGGAGCACTGGCAGGAATGTCGGTGATTCAGGAGGATTTCTGGGATGATTCCATCCTGGAGATCCTGGGATCTGGGCTGGGAGCACTGGCAGGAATGTTGGTGATCCAGGAGGATTTCTGGGATGATTCCATCCTGGAGATCCTGTGGAGCAGGATTGGGCTGGGAGCACTGTCAGGAATGTTGGTGATCCAGGAGAATTTCTGGGATGGGATCTGGGATCTGGGCTGGGAGCACTGGCAGGAATGTCAATGATCCAGGAGGATTTTGGGGATGGGATCTGGGCTGGGATCTGGGATGGAATGTCAGTGATCCAGGAGAATTTCTGGGATGGAAGCTGGGCTGGGAGCACTGGCAGGAATGTCAATGATCCAGGGAGATTTCTGGGATGGTTTAATCCTGGAAATCCTGGGATCTGGGCTGGGATCTGGTCAGGAATGTCAGTGATCCAGGAGAATTCCTGGGATGGTTCAATCCTGGAAATCCTGGGATCTGGGCTGAGAGCACTGGCAGGAATGTCAATGATCCAGGGAGATTTCTGGGATGATTCCATCCTGGAGATCCTGTGGAGCAGGATTGGGCTGGGAGCACTGGCAGGAATGTCAATGATCCAGGAGGATTTTGGGGATGGGATCTGGGCTGGGATCTGGGATGGAATGTCAGTGATCCAGGAGAATTTCTGGGATGGGATCTGGGATCTGGGCTGGGAGCGCTGGCAGTAAAATTGATGATCCAGGAGAATTTCTGGGATGGTTTAATCCTGGAAATCCTGGGATCTGGGG